CCTCTCCCTCTCCCTCTCCCTCTCCCTCTCGCTCTCGCTCTATCTAATTTCAACATGTATATAGGATCCCTGTCTCCTGCCTGAACTCGGCGTTTTGTATACGCCCCTGACGAACTCCGAAGGGGAAATGGGCAAAGAGAAGAGTTTTTGGAAAACTGACTAGCTCATGATATTTCTGACAGACTCTGGGATGCTCCGGTGTGGCATTCCCTAGCATCAGCCTCCTCGTCTTTATCAAAAAGTTGTGTCTAACTTTGGTGAAGAGGACGAGCAAGACAGAGAGAAAGACGATGAAGTGGAGGAAAAAAATGGGCGTGCCCATTTTCGATTGAATTCCATCGACAGCGGCACGTTCTGTTGGAGTACTGGAATTTTTGCCGCAATAGCAGAGTGTCTACGGTTCTTGGGACTTACGCTTCAGGATATTGCTCAGTGGTGTGATTTCTCAAGTTTTGTTTTTTATTTTGTTGTTTGGGGTTTTGTTTTGTTTATTTGTTTGTTTTTTGTTTTTTGGAGGCTGGTTTTTTTTGTGTGTTTGGGTTTTTTCTTTTTTTTATACCTTTTTCTCTTCCACGCGTGTTCTACTGGAAATCTAATAAGGCAATTCATTAATACAATGTACTTGTACTTGTGTGATGATAACAAGATGTATCCTCCTTGTTGTCAACCGGCTACAGGAATCTTGGTGTAATCCGTTTTCTGCCCCAAGCTCCTGGAGTCAGAATCTGTGTGCAAATATGGGGATAAGTGCGGGCTCGCCGGAAAGCTCTTATATCTGCTTCTCGAAAGGAATATTTCATTTTTACGCATCCACCTGTCAGAGTGACTCTATACTTTGGCTTGGCATATTCCTGCGTTCTTCACGCATGCATTGCAGAGGGTGTGACTTGCCGATATACATTATTTTTTTAAAGATTACATTTAAGAGAAGTGTGCCTTTTAAAAATATTTTTTTTTGGTTGTAAGTAAGGTGAGCGTGACTATATTATGTGTGCATGTGTGTGAGGAGATAGAAAGAGAGAGGGAGGCGGAGAAAGACGGAGAGAAAAAGGGAGGGAGAGAGAGAGAGAGAGAGAGTGTGTGTGTGTGTGTATGTGTGTGTGCGTGTGTGTGTGTTTGTGTGTGTGTGAGTGTGTCATCATTATTATATGTGTGAAAACTAAAAGTGTGAATGTATATTATGCGTGTGTGGTAGTGGAGAGATGGGGTGGTGGCTGTAATAGTCCCATCTTTCGAACAACGGTTTAATAAGATAACAGATCAAAATGTAGGGCAGTATTAAATTTAAAAAATATACGAGGTTAAAAAAACGTAACACCATGGAGAGCGTATCCCGACAAAGATTGAGAAAGATTTGGAGATGTACAAAATCTCTAGGCGAGCAATCAACAACTCAGAAAAGGAACGTAAATAAACCATTGGGATGCCCCGATCTGGGTGGTATCGCAAAGTTACCTTTTCCATCATCGGCGCTCCTGCAAATCCAGGGTCTGTCGTCACATTTCTTCTTTCCTAGCACCCAGACGACACACAGAGCGAGGGAAAGAAAGAGAGAGAGGGGGGAAGAGAACGAGGGAGAGAGGGGAGTGAGAGGGAGGACGAGAGAGAACGAGGGAGAGACGGGAGTGAGAGAGGGGGAGAGAGAATGAGGGAGACAGAGAAGGAAAGAGAGAGAGAGCGAGAGAGAGAGAGAGAGAGCGAGAGAGAGAGAGCGAGAGAGAGAGAGGGCGACTCTGGCAAAACCAAGAAAAGCCACACAGCTCGGTAAACAATAAGCTTCTACAAAACCACAATCGTTGTGAATAAAAAAAAATGCTTCCTCGTTTGTCTTAAACATTTAATTTATGTTCCTCCGATTTTATTTTTTTGCGCTGTATTCTCTCTCTCTCTCTCTCTCTCTCTCTCTCTCTCTCTCTCTCTCTCTCTCTCTCT